TCAAATTAAAAAAACTTAAAAAAAAGAAAATTTATTATTATTATTATTTTGGGTAACAAAAAATATAATTTACTCTTATTTTAAAATAAGTAATAACAATAATAATAATAATAAAATTAAAAAAATGAATAAACAAATATAAATAAATAAAAAAAAAAATCTTTTTCTTTTTAATAATTAATTAACGTTTTAACGAAAATTATATTTATTTATTTAATTATTATTATCATCATCATCTTCATCATTAAAACTTTAAATAATTTACAATAAACATTTAATAAATAATAACTTTTAATTTTTATTATATACATAATAATAATTATTATAATTATAATTAATAAAAAATTTTCTTTTTTACTAAAAAATAATTAAAAAAAAAAATTACACGTGGCAATGATTACGGATGATTAATGACGTCAAACTTTTTTTTTTTTATATAAAAACACGATTTCGTATTAAAAAAAAAAACAAAATGGACACTATCGATTTTTAATTTATTTTTATATATATATATATATATATACGTACACCCACGCACACACACACACACACACCTACACACATTTTCGTCGCGGTGAATATTTTTATAAAATTAATATTAAAAAAAAAAAAAAAAAAAATGCAAAATTAAACATTGTATCATTTACTTATTTTTTTGAAAAAAGCATTCATAAATAATATTTTTTTATTTATTAAAGTGTACAAAACGGATATTAATAATAATAATAATAATAATAATAATAATAATAATAATAAAACGTTATTAAAAGATAAAAATAAAATAAATAAATATATGGAATACGTATATATATATAATCGTAGATTTTTTGTGTTTTCGTGTTTTCCCGAGGCTGTTTAATATAAATATATATTATATAAACAAACAAACAAAAAAAGGCAGCCATTTAATCCGCCCCTCCCCCCACATTTTTTTTTTTTTAAATTAAACTTTTCGACGTCAAAAAAAAAAAAATTATTTTAACTGCGCTCGTGTGCGTGTGCGGGTTCGGAAAGAGGATCCCATACAATCGAAATGTATTATTATTATTATTATTATTATTATTATTATTATTATTATTTCACTTTCATCGTCAATATTGTTTCGTTTGAGATGTAAAACGTTTATTATTAAATAATAACAATAATACTAATAATAAAATTATTTGTTTTCAATGTCATTATTATACCTGAGAGGTTTTAATATTTCCTTATCAATATTTTTAACTCTCGGACTTTTATTAGATAATAATTTATGTACGGTTTCGAATTCTAAATTTTTTGTTTCGATCATTATAAAATAATAGAAAATTAAACCGACAATGCAATTGAAAACAAATATTAAAAATGTCGGACCCAAACCCAGCCAAACGGATATCGTCGGATACATTTTAACGACTACGAATTCCAATAAACTCACGCATATGTTGGCTAAAGTGGAAGCTTTT